ATCCCTCCAAGAATTGGAAAGACGGTGTATAATGAAGAATGGAGGGTGACCGACTGTCGCCGCCCACACGGCCGACATGATGTGTTTTTATTTACTTATGAAGGGGAGCATACCATTTAGTTCTAAGATACAGTCCTGGTCCACATGTAATAAGGTCACATAACTCCAACTCACAATTCAGGAGGCTGACTAGAATTACTTTTCTGTGCAGTACTTCCATTTTCCAATTTTATAGTCTAGAAGAATTCTACTATTGCACAACCAGTAGACTCCTTACCATTTTTGCATAGTCCTCGAAGGCAACTTTACTGAAAAGATCAACATTTTGGTACTTGTTAAAACTTTTCCGCCGTCTTCTCAGCCATATCATCTTACTGAAGTTGGATGCTGTTAGGAAATTCCATTGTTCTCTAAGTATATTATTATTTACAGCACGGTCAGTGCGAAATGCAAGCAGTGGCAAGGGTCGAGAGCAGATTCGGAATTACAGGACCAGTCGCAGGTATTTTTTAACTCTTATTGGATACCAGTCGGATCGCTCGGCTGACGCCGAACTCTCCTCCTTCTCTTTAGCTCGGCTTCGCCGAGCTGGCCTGCCTTCGGCAGGCGCACATAATTTACCCCCCCCCCTCCCTCCCGCCGCTCGTCGACATCGACATTATATAGCAGGATAGTGGGATGAGTTCATTTTCTAGTGCTATCAGAGAAGTGATGGCTAAAGGAAAAGTTTGCACACTGAGCCTTCAATACTTGGCAGTATAGTGGTAGGAGATGTTTTATGATGGCCCCTTATCCTTTCTTATCAATTGATAAGATTGCCTGTCACCCGTCATCAGTTCCCTATCACTAAAGCTCTATAATTTGGTAGTGTAAAGGCCCCAACACTTTGACTGAACAACAACGGCAACGTTCCTTATCAGCAGCTGTTATCACCTCCTGTCACCCGCCGTCGATGTTCTCATCTCCCACTCTATATCATTTTCTGAAATCAACGCCTAGCTGATGCTGTGTCCCGCGTTATGAGTATGGTGACCTTCCCATTCTAACTCCCCTTATCAAATCTTATCAGCTGCTAGCACTTCTTGTCACCCACCAATAATAATCGTGTGCCATAGCCTATACCATACCTTGGAACTAACGTCCCACTATTGCTGTGACCCGCGCTATGGACTCGGCCCCTCCCCTTCTGACGCCTCTTATCAGATCTTATCAGCTGATATCACTTCCTGTCACCCACCAATAGTGTTCCCGTCACACCCCCTACATCACTTCTTGAAATCAATGTCTCACTGCTACTGGGACCGGCGCTATGAATTTCGTGACAGACAGACAGACGCACACACACACAC